AAAGTTCGCGAGCAGAGCTACTACAAAAAGGTCTCATTTGTCATTATTGGTTGAGAATTCACGCCGATTCGTCATCTCAAAGTCGACTACCCGCTCTGATACCACTTGTTGTTCAGGATCCGTCACTTCGAGAGCTTACGACGAACTCATTTCTCAACTAAACGCAAATCCGCTCGGTAGGATGTTGCGCCTTAGGCTTAGCTACCATCTCCAATTTGAATCACTTAAAAAGATGGTCTAGAGAGTGAGAACCATTCGAAAACGTCCAGCTGCTGCATGACTAGAGTGGTGGAGGAAGTACAAGCATTAAGGCATAGAAAGTTGGAGTTGGGGACCTCCAAGAGAACCATGAGAGGGAAGGGGTTCTCCAAGAGCTAGGGAAGGATGGTAGGAACCTTCCTAGCAGCAAGGATGCAACCCTCATCATGAGGTCTTTGAGGTGTCACATGCAAAATCCAATCTAGTTGGATTTTGCCTAGGTGTTGCAACATTTGCAACCCATGCTAGAAACTTCTAGCCACCCCAATCCAAAAGTCAAAGTTGCCTTCCTAACCACCCAACCAAAGATCCCTTTATAGTCATGTCCCAATAATCGCCCAAATTAGATATAACCCCAAAGAGGTAATAAGAAATCCAAGTCTTGGAAATCTTGTAACTTGGGCGATCTTGGTCGGAATAAGGCGATCTTGGTATCGTTGGAAAGCTCTGAATTTCTCCTGCATGATCAAGCATGTAGACTTGGAGAAAAACACAGAGATGATAATATCCAACAGCCATGCACAATAACATATGCTCATGCAAACAATGCACGCATGAATAGCACGAGCACTCGGCAGGACGTTAGGATGACATGCACTCAAGATGACGTGCATCCAACAGGGGGAGCACAGGGAAAAATGGCGCGAAGCCATGGACAAAGAATTGAAGGCATTGGAAGAACGGAATACTTCGAAGGTTGTTCCCATCGGAGTGGCACGCAACAAAACGGTACTCACCGGAAAATGGGTTTTCCGTGTGAAAACCAAAGCAGACGGCACCATCGACAAGTTTAAGGCACGCTGGATCGTACATGGATTCGACCAGGAGCACGGACGGGACTTCACCGAAACGTTCACGCTGGTTAGCCGTCACACTTCACTGCGAATTCTCCTCGCGATCGCCGCCATGAAGCGGAAGAAACTTCGGCAAATCGACGTCGCTAACGCCTTTCTCTACGCGCCCGTCGATGCAGAAATCTTCGTCGAACAGCCACACGGCACTAACGCAGACCCTAACAAAGTGTGTCAACTACTGAAGTCCCTGTACGGCATCAAACAGGCGCCGAGACTGTGGCAGCAGTACCTACACGCTCGGCTCAACCGCATTGGATTCCGCCAGCTACAGCATGACCAGGGAATGTACCGACTCACAAAGGGCACCGACTACATTTTACTGATCGTCTACGTAGATGATCTACTCTACATCGGCTCGACCGACGACGTCACGACCTGGTTCGAAGGGGAGCTGCAACAAGACCTCACGCTCACGGTCTCGTCTACCGTGGCGCAATACCTCGACCTCAACATCCAAGAGGAGGAGAACGCAATCTACCTCAGCGCCGCAAAATACGCCGACGCCATCGCCAAACGCTTCGGACTTACACCAACTACCATCTCCACGCCACACCGCTACACCGCCGGAAACTCCAAGGAAACCTCCGTACTACACAAGCCCGCCGGCATACGCGACTACCAGCGAAAGCTAGGCTATCTGCTATTCGCAGTCATCGCCTGCCGACCAGACCTATCATATTCGGCAAGTCAGCTCGCTACCTACCTCAAGAAACCCGAAGCAGAGCACATGACGGAACTCGACCGCGCACTTCACTACCTCGTCAGCACCCCGACGATCGGCCTAACTTATCACAAGACCGGAACCACGCCACCTAAGTTAATCGGCTACGTCGACGCTGACCACGCCGGCGACTCCGACAACAGGCGCTCACGCACCGGCTACATCTACCGCTTCGAGCCTATCGGGCCTATCTCGTGGCAGTCGAGCAAACAGGAACTAATCGCTCTCTCTTCAGCCGAAGCAAAATATATCGCACTTTTCTCAGCCACGAAGGAAGGCTTGTATCTTCGCGAACTACTAGAAGAAGCGAAGCTGGCTGAGTTACACAGCTTCTCCCTGCTCTGTGACAATCAATCTACAATTCGCATCGCAAACAAGAATGGGTTCGCAAACAGGACAAAGCATATCGCCATGCGATATTTCTTCGTAAAGGACGAGATCGAGAAGGGGAGACTCGAACTGGCCTACTGCCCCACATCCGAGATGGCAGCCGACTATTTGACCAAGAAACTTGGAAAGCAGAAGTTCGAGTACTGCATGCTGCTGTCGGGACAAGGCCACGTCACCAGCAGCGACACTCCAGAAGCGAAGGGGAGTGTTAGAAACAAGTAATTTAAAGCGCATATTATGTGTCGAAACACCGAACCATAAAGAAGCGAACTACAACGGAACATCGGCGAGTCAACCGAGGAGGTTGACAAAATGGTAACAGCCGGAGGTTACGCGAAGGTCAAAGGTCGCTGACCTTTGACTCGACAAATACAGCGCGACAGCAAGGACACAGAACTTCCGACTCGTTATTGAGCGGTTGCCCGAGTCGTCACTGTATCGAACCGCAACAGCAAAACGGTTATTGACTATATCTCTTCATATTCCTTGTACCCTTATAAAACCTTGTATCCCCTTGTTTTAATCAATTCACTTTGCCCTCACATACCAGCGCAATGTGGTTCAATCTTTATCACTAAACGCTTCCGCAACCACATGTCAGAAGTCTAGGCAAGAATCAGAATCAGGAAAGAGGGGTTTTCACTAGCAGGCAGTTGAGTACATATAGCAAACCCTAATTTGGGTTGTACTCGCTATAGAGTACCCCACTGCAGGCTAGACAAACATCACATTCTGACACACCCCCATAGTCAAAGTGGGGTATAATCAGCACAACAAGCAGGCATAGCAATAGTTCACAGTGATTAGCAAAGCTAGAGACTATCAAAGCGGGCAAGTGAGGAGGAGGAGAAACTGTGGAGGCGAGAAGATGGGAGGCGACGGCTGAAGCTGCAGACACTCGGGCAATAGGAGTGCGCAGCACTGTCGCTACCAGGCTATACCCGGACTACTCAGGCGACAGGCGCAGCTGGCTCTCTGTGCTCCCAGGAGTGCTCACACTGTAGCTACCAGGCTATACCCGGACTACTCAGGCCACAGACGCAGCTGGCTCTCTGGACTACCAGGAGTGCTCACACTGTGGCTACCAGGCGCAGAGCCCCGGACTACTCAGGCCACAGACGCAGCTGGCTCTCTGGACTACAGGCGCTGCGGACGACAAGACGGCTGCCTCCACTCAACTTCCCCCAGCTGTCCCACACCCCTTGCACACACCCCCTGGAGTACCTCTAGCACTGCTCACACGCCACCCCCCTCGTACCACTCCGACGGCTCCAACACATCCACCCCCCTCAGCGGCAGCTGCAGCAGTGGGAGACGGAGGAGGAGGAGGAGGAGCAGGGGACGGCTCACACACCCGGCACCCCCATACTCTCCACCCCCATACTCTCCACCCCCAAACCCTAACACAGGAGCGCGGGCAGCAGCGGGGGTGGGGCGCGGTCAGAAGCTCGGGGGACGGCGTGCGGCACTGGGGCGGACTGTACGGGCCGCGCGCGGGCCTGGCGCAGCCCGTACGGGCCGCGCGCGGGCCTGGCGCAGCCCGTACGGGCCGCGCGCGGGCCTGGCGCAGGTCGCGCGGGCCGCGTCGGGCGACGGGGGGCGACGCGCGGGTCCCCGGGGGCGCCTCGACGGGCGACGGGGGGCGACGCACGGTTCGACGGGTCAGGAAACCGCCGCGCGCCCCGAGCGCGCGGCAGGAAGAAAAAAACGCCGCGCGCCCTGAGCGCGCGGCACGCAGCAAACATCGCGTACTCAGAGCGTGCGATAGGCAGAACAGCAGCGGAAGCATCGGGTGGGACCACCCACAGGATCGACCCAGGAGGGTCGACCTGCTCTGATACCATGTCAGAAGTCTAAGCAAGAATCAGAATCAGGAAAGAGGGGTTTTCACTAGCAGGCAGTTGAGTACATATAGCAAACCCTAATTTGGGCTGTACTCGCTATAGAGTACCCCACTGCAGGCTAGACAAACATCACATTCTGACACCACATTGTTCCTACCTAGAGTTCTACCCTTGCAAAGATCCTAAGGGCTTCTCAGCCCAACAGGCAGGGCGTGCGTGGGGGGGGCGCAGCGCAGGGTAGGGCAGGGCGTGCGTAGGCAGCGCGACGCAACGCAAGGCAGGGCAGGGCGTTCGCGGGCCGGCGCAACGCAGGGCAGGGCAGGGCATGCACGTGTGGTGGGGCAGAGCGACGGACAGAATACGATCGGTGGGCCCTAACGAGAACGGTCCTGGGACAGGACCTGCTCTGAAACCATGTCTGAATGAACAGCAGGAATGAATTAACTATGCAACAGTTTGGTACATGTACTAACTGGGTTGTACCCCATATAGGCTACCCCACTACAGCCTACACAACACAATGTTCTGACACTCGCAACACCGCGTTACCGTTTGCATCTCTTAGCTATTGAGTGTTCGCTCACACTTGTATTCTTTGAGCCATTAGTTAAATCCGAGCTTCAATGGTTCAATTTCACTAGTAACACTTTTATAACTCGTAACATATCCCATGGAATGGACCTAGTGGCGGAGCTATCGAAGGTTGGTGTGTGCTTCGAGTTTCCCCAAAGAGGGAATGCGCTGAGCATCTACTTAGAGCTTCTTGATTTTCACGTCACGCTGCTACTTCCCTCTACCTCGCGCCGCCGAGCTGTAAATCGCACAACGCTCCCCGCCGAGTCGCCCTACAGGGCTGCTCATCTCGTCGCCGGAAGGCGCACGGTGTGGCCCCTCGCCAATCAGCGGGCTGCTGAAGTCGCCGAGCGACATGCGATGTTCATCGCGAATGCGTCGCGCACATGTGGTTTCCAGGTTGGCGCGGCAGCCCTCCCCCCACCTGGATCTCACCGCGGCGTTGCTCGACAGAGCGATAGGTGTGTGGCCGGGCGATGGGGACGCGGCGGAACAGATGGGGGCGGGACGGTGGGAGTGTTGTTCCGCCTCTGCGTCCGCCACTGCGCGACCCCTTACGCCACCCAGCGGAGTCAGGAAGTGCGCTGGACTTCGCGCGAGCGCAGAACAGCGAGTCGCTGTTGAGAGGAAGGGGGGAGAGGCGAGGGGGTGGGAGGGGCATTTAATGGAGACGCGTGCGGCGAGCATCGACGCCGCTGTGCTCATCGCGTCTCGCCCACCGTCGCATCCACCACGCCTTCCCCGCCTGCCGCCGACTCCTGCTGCTGCCGCCACCCTCTGCGCCGCTTGTCGTCTCTCGCTCACTCGCTCAACCACTGCGAAAGCAGCGACGGCGCCTGTGGCGCGGCGAGAGCGCGTCTGTGCGGGAGGGCGCGAGGGCGGGCGCGAGTGACGCACGCGTTGGAAGAGGCATGGCGTGGAGCGAGGAGCGAGACGAGTGGGCCATGGCACGGAGCGAGGGTGAGGGTGATGCGATGCGGGTGTTGGGGCAGCTGGCCCTGGCGGACGTGACGCGCCTTCTGCTGGACGACGATGCGGTTGACGCGGGCGATGCGCATGAGGGGAAGGCGGGTGACATGGGGGGTGGGAAGAGCGCAGGCGGAGCAGTTGAGGGCGCGGAGGGGAGGAAGGAAGGCGGGCAGTGGCATGCGGAGGAAGGCGGGCAGTGGCATGCGGAGGAAGGCGGGCAGTGGCATGCGGAGGAAGGCGGGCAGTGGCATGCGGAGGAAGGCGGGCAGTGGCATGCGGAGGAAGGCGAGGCACGAGAGGGAGGAGGCGCGAGCAGCAAGGAAGGCGAAGACGGAAAGCGGGGCGAGCAGGCGCCATGGGTGGGTGGGGGCACGGCGTGGCAGGCAGCAGCCATTCGCACTGCCAGCGTGGCAGGTGGGAATGATGGTGATGCTCTCGGTCCAGCTAGTGGCGATACAGCCAGCAACGCTTGTGCCGATTCATTCAGTCCCTCTACTGCCCCCACTACCGCTGCTGCCCCTACTGCCGCGGATCCAGACTCTGCTGTGGGTGCCACGAGTGGCACTGCTCTCGCTATCGCTGCTGATGCTGATGCTGCCCACGGGAGCAACCAAGCCACTGTGGCAGCAATGGAGCGCCCTGCTGCAGCAGTGGAGGCCATGGCAGCAGGAGGGGCGGCGGACGACTGGCTGCATGTGTTGCACGACGACGCCCACTGGGACCTGCTCCCCGCCTTCTCCCTGACGCCCCTCGCCCTCCCTCCCCTGCACCTGCCCGCCTGCCCTACCATGCACGCCCCTCCACCGCACCCCTCTGCTCACAACATCATGGTGGCAGGGCAGCGTGGGAGGGCCGGCGAGGGCGCCGTGGGAGCGGCGGACCTGTCTCAGATCGGGTCGTCCGGCGACCTGCTCGCCGCCACCACTGCCGCTGCCCCCGTTCTGCCCGCCAGCCCCGCCCGCGGCGGCACAGTGTGCTGCAGCCCCGAGGGCGGTGCGTGCGGGTCGGGCGTGTGGCACGCGTTGGGGGCGCGCCTGGGCTCTGGGCTGCCCAGCGATGGCAGTGGCAGTGCTGGCGCCGGGGGCATGGGCGGTGGCACGGGGGGGAGGAGTGCTGCTGCAGGTGGCAGTGGCAGTGGCAGTGGCAGTGGCAGTGGGAGAGGTGGTTGCGATGCGGATGGGGTGGCGCATGGCAGTGTGGCAGTGGAGGCGATGAGCGAATGGGAGAGGGCAGGTGCAGCACGAGGTGGAGCAGGTGGGCGAGACGAGATGGGGGAGGGTGTGGCGGGCAGGGAGCAGGTGGTGGGCGAGAGTGAGGTGGAGGGGCCCTTGGCTGCGGCCCTCGTGACGTGCGTCCACTGCTCCTCGCTGCTTCAGGTCTGCACCCCTCCTTCGCTTCTCTCATTTGTGTTTGTTCTCTTCTCCAACCTACGTCTTTCCTTGCCTCGTGTTCGATTCTTATGCCGCTGCCCCATGACCTCATCACGTGTCCTACCATCATCATCATCGCCTCACCCCCATTGAACTCGCACCCCTGCAGGTCGACATGCCGGCCGCCATCCCCACTGCAGCCATCTGCACTCTCTTCTGCGGCCACTGCTCCGCCCTCCTCGCGCTGCCCTCCACCGCACTGCCCACCATCACCAGCACGCCCACGCGCTGCTCTCGCTCCTCTCGCCCGCTCATACCGCCTCACAGCGCCGGGGTGCACGTGGCAGCTGCCGCTGCTGGTGGGGGGGCGAGCGGCCACAGAGGTGCGCTTAGCAGTGACGCGCCGCCAGGGGCGCTCGCCCCTCTGGCTGCTGGCCGCGCTGTGCACGCGTGTGCGGAGGCGCTGGCAGAGCCCGTGGACTGCCTTGACCGCACGTGGCGCGACGGCAGCCCCGCAGCAGGCGACAGCGCCGGGCTGGCAGGCACACCGCGCCGCGTGCTGCCTGCTGTGCTCCTCGGGGCTTTAGCATCGGTGGGGTGTGGCATGCGGTGCCAGCTGGCTGTTGCTGAGGAGATGGGGCAGCAGGAGGGCATGGGCCATGAGGTACGTGGCTGGTGGACGCCTGAGTTCCCACTCTCCCCCTCCTCCTCCCCCCCTCCTCCTCCTCCTCCTCCCCTCCTCCTCCTCCTCCTCCTCCTCCTCCTCCTCCTCCTCCTCCTCCTCCTCCTCTCTCTTTCACTACTGTCAGACGCACCCTCTTTCCCTTCGTTGATTCCCCGCCAATCGTTCTCATCTGCCCCTCTTCCGATCCCCCCTGCAGCCACTCCCCCCGCGCATGCACCTGCCTGCTGCGCCGCGCTGTGCAGCCAGGCTGCACCCCTCCCTGCCGCTCACGGCGGCCCACCTCACTCTCGCTGCCGACTCGCCAGAGGCGGCTCCAACCAGCGATGGAGGGGTGGGCGGGGCAGGGAGTGCGGCGGATAGCAAGAGGACGCAGCGGGCGCTGAGGAAGCGCAAGCGAGCTGCCACTCCCATTGGTACGCCCAGCCCACCCGCCACTCTTGCTCGTGCCTCTTTCTCCTGCACGTTCCAGCAGCTCGTGTTCACTCTCCCCCGCTGCATGCCTCGGCACGTGTACCCATTCATCGGCACGTGTACCCATTCATCGGCACGTGTACCCATTCATCGGCACGTGTACCCATTCATCGGCACGTGTACCCATTCATCGGCACGTGTACCCATTCATCGGCACGTGTACCCATTCATCGGCACGTGTACCATTCATCGCATGGCATGTGCAGGGTCAAAAGCAGTGGCAAGGGAGGGGTCAGAGGAGGTGGGTGATGGCAGCGGGGAGGAGGAGAGCTGCAGGGGGGGAGAGCAGAGGGGTGGCAGGGCAAGCAGCAAGGCCGCAGGGAGGGAGGGAGTAGCCCCTGTGAAGAGGCATCGCAAGGCGTCCACCTACAACCTCTTCATCCGGTGGGTGCTCTGCTGCTCTTCTGTTCCATCCACAACTCTCCACCTCTCCCTCCTCTGCATTCTCTCCACGTGCCTGAAACCTCTTCTGCTCCTTCCTGTCTCTGCCTGTCCCTCCCGTGCCTCTCTGGCCGCCTATCCTCTGGCCCGCCTTGCCTTGCGCAGGGATGAGATGATGCGGCTGCGCGCGGCCAACCCGCACATGGACCACCGCGAGGCCTTCAAGGAGGCCGCCAGGCGGGTGGGTCTTGGGGGGTGGGTGCACACAGCTGTTGTGTGGGGGCCGTGTGCTGTGCATTGAGCTGTTGTGCGCGCATAGTATTGATGGCTGTCAAAGAGTTCTTTCCACATTTTATCTCATGGTGCTTCTTCTCCCCACTGCTTCTTCTCCCCACTGCTTCTTCTCCCCACTGCTTCTTCTCCCCACTGCTTCTTCTCCCCACTGCTTCTTCTCCCCACTGCTTCTTCGCCCCACTGCTTCTTCTCCCCACTGCTTCTTCTCCCCACTGCTTCTTCTCCCCACTGCTTCTTCTCCCCACTGCTTCTTCTCCCCACTGCTTCTTCTCCCCACTGCTTCTTCGCCCCACTGCTTCTTCTCCCCACTGCTTCTTCTCCCCACTGCTTCTTCTCCCCACTGCTTCTTCTCCCCACTGCTTCTTCTCCCCACTGCTTCTTCGCCCCACTGCTTCTTCTCCCCACTGCTTCTTCTCCCCACTGCTTCTTCTCCCCACTGCTTCTTCTCCCCACTGCTTCTTCTCCCCACTGCTTCTTCTCCCCACTGCTTCTTCTCCCCACTGCTTCTTCTCCCCACTGCTTCTTCTCCCCACTGCTTCTTCTCCCCACTGCTTCTTCTCCCCACTGCTTCTTCTCCCCACTGCTTCTTCTCCCCACTGCTTCTTCTCCCCACTGCTTCTTCTCCCCACTGCTTCTTCTCCCCACTGCTTCTTCTCCCCACTGCTTCTTCTCCCCACTGCTTCTTCTCCCCACTGCTTCTTCTCCCCACTGCTTCTTCTCCCCACTGCTTCTTCTCCCCACTGCTTCTTCTCCCCACTGCTTCTTCTCCCCACTGCTTCTTCTCCCCACTGCTTCTTCTCCCCACTGCTTCTTCTCCCCACTGCTTCTTCTCCCCACTGCTTCTTCTCCCCACTGCTTCTTCTCCCCACTGCTTCTTCTCCCCACTGCTTCTTCTCCCCACTGCTTCTTCTCCCCACTGCTTCTTCTCCCCACTGCTTCTTCTCCCCACTGCTTCTTCTCCCCACTGCTTCTTCTCCCCACTGCTTCTTCTCCCCACTGCTTCTTCTCCCCACTGCTTCTTCTCCCCACTGCTTCTTCTCCCCACTGCTTCTTCTCCCCACTGCTTCTTCTCCCCACTGCTTCTTCTCCCCACTGCTTCTTCTCCCCACTGCTTCACGTCGCCCCTCTCTGCACTGACATGGCCCTCCCCTCACATGCTGCCGTGCCATGCTCCCGGTTGTGCAGTGGGGCAGTGCAGCAGAGAACGTGCGCGGCTCACATGCGCTGGCAGCAGCAGCCAGGGCCAGGGCGCTGCTGCTCTACCCCATGCACGCGCCCCCCATGCACGCGCCCCCCATGCACGCGCCCCACACACCCCACATGCCATCCGCTGCTGCTGCCGCCACTGCGGCTCCTCTGCCTGGCGCCACTGCGGCTCCTCTGCCTGGCGCCACTGCGGCTCCTCTGCCTGGCGCACGGGTGGGAGCAGCGGTGGTGGGTGGGGGGATGGGGCAGCAGTGTGTGCGGGAGGGGGGGCAGGGAGGCTGTGAGGGGGGCGAGGCGCATGCTGGAAGTGCTGGTGCTGGCAGGGAAGGGCGGTGGGTGGTGCGGGCAGAGGAAGGGGCGGGCGGGGCAGGGGTAGGTGAGTTGGCAGCAGCAGCAGAGAGGGTGGTGGCGGGGTGGTGGGGCCCTGGCTGTGGCGTGGACAGGGGGACAGGCAGTGATGGGTGGGAGGGGGGCCGGTGTGTTGATGGATTGGGGAGTGTGCCCCTGGAGATGGGGAGGGGGAGGGGGAGGCATGGAGGCTGTTTGAGCGATGTGGTGGGAGAGAGACACATGCAGATGCAGGCAGGCGAGTTGAACATGGAGCCGAGGGAGGAGCAGGCTGGGGGTATGGCGCACGGGCTGGCAGGCGAGGCAGCAGCAGCAGGTCCCCTGCAGCAGCACGTGTGGGAGGTGGAGCGCAGTGAGCAGCAGCAGGCGCCACAGGGGCTGCACAGCGATGCGTACCGCCGGCTGGCTGCAGGCATCAGCAGCAAGCTCATGTCATCCGCACTTCCAACAAACACGTGAATGTGAACGTGCCAGCACCGAGGGCACTTTGGGGGCAGCAGCACCAGTACCATTTTGTTTATTTCTCATTTGTGTGCTACATTCTCACAGTTAAAAGCAACGGAATGATGTGATTAGGAAAGCCTGCTGATCAGGGCTTAGGTTTGGATTTTGCCTACTCACGATTGGCAGTGTAGCTATTTCAATAACCCTTCTGAGCAGTGTGTTTTTTTTCATTACACTGATAGATCAGTGTAACCATGGGCTTCGGAAAATTTACCCTGCAACAGCAGTGTGAGTTTTCGTGGCGTACTGGCAAGGGAAAACAGACACAAGACCAAACAGACACGAGACACTAGACACGAGACCAATCAGACAAGAGACACGAGAACAATCAGACACGAGACTGCTGCCAACAAACAGACTGCACTGCATGGAAGGAAACATCTGTTGGGCTGAGAACAGCCCTTAGGATCTTTGCAGGGGTAAATTCGGGGTAGAACAATTGTAATAGCGGAAGCGTTTAATGAAAGCTTGTGAACCACCTTGCGCTGGTATGTGAGGGCAAAGTAAGTTGATTAAAGCAAAGAGATACAAGCATTTATATATGAGTACAAGGAATACCGTCATACCCCGGATATACCCCCATGAGGGGCACTAATAAGACAGGTTTTTTTTAGGGGGGTGGGCTTATAATCGAGTAAATTTATAAGCGCCGACGTTTATAAAATGACATATATATATTTTTATAGTTTTTAACACCCAACTGTAGATCTCGTGCTTGCTTTTTCAATCGAGTCGAAGTTTATGGGGTCGTCTGTGCTTTTTCTCGCGCGCGCTGGGAGATACACTCAATCTGACTCACATTCAGGTCCTGACAGCTCCTGCTGACTGGATCCGCATCCAGTGCAGGCTCCGAATGTGAAGGGAAGCGAAACTGCAACACATCCCCCTGCTAAAGTCAAAATCGTTACAGTGTTTTGCACACATTTTGAAATTTAAAGTTTACGTGCGCTTATAATAAAACAAGTTTTTTTCAAGGGGTGCGCTTATAATCTAGCACCGGATATAAGCGCCACACGCCAATTAAAAGCGCCAGGCGCTTATCCGCGGGTGGCGCTTATATCCGGGGTATGACGGCATGAAATGATACAGTTATAACTACTTTACTGTTGCTGTTGCGGTTCGATACAATGACGACTCGGGCAACTGCTCTGTAGCGAGTCAGTTGTGTGTCCTTGCTGTCGCGCTGTACTTGTCAGGTCAAAGGTCGCTGACCTTTGACTTTCGCGTAACCTCCGGCAACCTCTTTCAACCTCCGAGGGTTGACTCGCGTGTGCCTCAATATGGTTCGCTTCGCTTCTGGTGTGATGTTTCGACACGACAGAGGCGCTTTAGGATTTACTGTTTCCAACACTCCCCTTCGCTTCTGGAGTGTCGCTGCTGATGACGTGGCCTTGTCCAGTCAGCAGCATGCAGTACTTGAACTTCTGCTTTCCGAGCTTCTTGGTCAAATAGTCGGCTGCCATCTCGGACGTGGGACAGTAGGATAGTTCAAGTCTCCCCTTCTCGATCTCGTCTTTCACGAAGAAATATCGCAGGGCGATATGTTTCGTTCTGTTCGCGAAGCCACTTTTGTTGGCGATGCGAATTGCCGATTGGTTGTCGCAGAACAGGGTGAAGTTGGGTAACTCAGCTAACTTTGCTTCTTCCAGCAGCTCGCGAAGATAAAGTCCTTCTTTGGTGGCTGAGCAGAGTGCAATGTATTCTGCTTCAGCTGATGAGAGTGCGATTAACTCCTGCTTGCTCGACTGCCAGGAGATAGGACCGATAGGTTCAAGGCGATAGATGTAGCCGGTGCGCGAGCGTCTGTTGTCTGAGTCACCAGCATGGTCTGCGTCGACGTAGCCGATTAACTTAGTCGGTGTAGTTGCGTTCTTGTGATAGGTTAGCCCGATCGTCGGGGTGCTAACGAGGTAGTGAAGAGCGCGGTCGAGCTCTGCTAGGTGCTCTGCTTCGGGTCTTTTGAGGTAGGTGGCGAGTTGGCTTGCGGAGTAGGATAGGTCTGGGCGACAGGTGACGGCTGCGAAGAGAAGGCATCCCAGCTTTCTCTGGTAGTCGCGAATGCCGGCAGGCTTGAGTGGAGCGGATTCACCCTTGTTGTTCCCTGTCGTGTAGCGATATGGTGTGGAGATGGCGGTTGGTGCAAGAGCGAAACGCTTGGCGATGGTGTCGGCGTATTTTGCGGCGCTGAGGTAGATCGCGTCGTCTTCTTCTCGGATGTTGAGCCCAAGATACTGTGTGACGGTAGATGAAACCGTGAGCGTGAGGTCTTGTTGCAGCTCCCCTTCGAACCAGGTGGTGATGCTGTCGGACGAGCCGATGTAGAGGAGGTCGTCTACATAGACGATTAGCAGGACGTAGTCGTCGTTCTTCGTGAGCCGGTACATCCCCTGATCGTGGGGTAGTTGTTTGAAGCCAATGCGGATGAGACGGGCGTGTAGGTACTGCTGCCATAGCCGCGGGGCTTGCTTAATCCCGTAGAGCGATTTCAGTAGTTGACAGACTTTGTTCGGCTCTCCGTTAGTGCCATGTGGGAGTTCGACGAAGATCTCCGCGTCGACAGGTGCGTAGAGAAACGCGTTGGCGACATCGATCTGTCGTAGCTTCTTCTTCTTCATGGCGGCGATCGCGAGAAGAATTCGAAGTGAGGTGTGTCGGCTGACCGGGGCGAATGTCTCGGTGAAGTCCCGTCCGTGCTCCTGATCGAATCCACGTACAACCCAGCGTGCTTTGAACTTCTCAATTGTGCCGTCTGCTTTCGTTTTGACGCGGAAGACCCATTTCCCGGTGAGGATGGTCTTGTTTCTTGCCACGCTGATGGGAACGACTTTCCAGGTGTTCCGTTCCTCCAGCGCTTTTAATTCTCTGTCCATGGCTTCACGCCATTTTTCCTTAGGACTGTGGACTCCTTAGGAATGGCGGGACCGTGGACTGCGGTGACGAGTCCGAGTATCTGAAGTCCACTCTGTGAGTAGCGGGGGAGTGTGGTGTCCTCGGGATAAACAGCTTCGTCTCCTGTTTCAGGTGTTGGATTGAAATTCGGTCCTACTCGTTCTGCTTCGTTGGTGTTGACCCGTGCAGGTGTAACGTAACCGTTGTCGGCGAATTCGTAGAAGACTTCGGCGTTGATGCTTTCGCGAGGATTTTCGTCGTCCATTGGGATGTCCACGGAGCAGTAAGGGAGAGGTCCGGCTGCTTCCGAGGCTCCTTCCACGTTCTGCTCGTCCCAGTCAGCTTCGTCTTCTGCCGAGGCGAAGGCTCGGTTCCCATGAAATCCGCCCGAGAGGTCAGGTCTGTTTTCTTCGATGTACATGAGGTGAGTTCCAAGGGTGAGGTGCTCATAGAAAATGACATCACGTGCTGCTACTGTTTCCTTGCTGTTGATGTCGAAGATTTTCCACGCGTTGTAATGTTTTGCGATGCCCAGGTGTAGTCCCCACTGTGCGCGTTGAGAGAATCGCCCAGCTCGTGCAGATGGAGGTCGGTACTGTACCATGCAGCCGAAGACTCTCAACATTTTTGTGCTGCCCAATTTTCCTGTCCACAGCAGATGCGGTGATGCGTTGTTCGGGAGCGATGATGACGAAAGCAAGTTGTGCAGCATCACGGCGTGGTCCATTGCTTCGGGCCACTGGTGGTTGGGCAGGTGCATGCCACGTAGCAGCTTGCGCATGGTGGCTTGGAGCGTCCTGTTCATCCTTTCTGCTACGCCTTGCTGTTGGTGAGCGTAGGGAAGGGAGATGAGCCTCTTGATTCCTCTTTCTGCCAAGTACTGCTTGAACCTCTGTGAGGTGTATTCTCCTCCCCCGTCTGACTGAAAGCTTTTTAGCTTAGCTCCCGATTCTCGTTCTGCGACTGGAAGCCAGGCGACAAAGGCTTCGAAAGCCATGTCGCGACTTGGAAGGTTTAGGTGCCAGACATATCGAGTTGCGGCGTCGATGAAGGTGATGGTGTAACTGTAGGCGTTTTGTCCGGGTTCACGGTTGTATAAGATGTCGCTGTACACCTTTTCGAGAGGTGTGTACGCAGGTGCGCTTGGATTGTGATGTGAGACGAACGGCTGATGCGGTAAGTCAGCTTCAGGGCAAGTGAAGCACGTTCCACGGGCTCGTTGAAGTTCTCTGCCGTCGGTCAGTAGAAGTGAGTCTTTGTCGAGCACTCCTGCTCTTATCGTGTTGTTTAACACTGTGTTGCTTGGATGTCCCATTCTTGCGTGCCAGGTACCTTCAGTGGCGCGATGTCCGGGTGATCTCCGATACAGATCAGAGTTGGAGTAGAAGCCGGCGGTGACGTTTGTGCTTCGGTGGACTTCGCGTGGTGCTGGATTGAGTTGTTGTGCGGGTGTCGGTGGTGAATCGTCGATGGAGATCGGTGTCATTGAAAAGCCAGCTATTGGTGTTGATGTTGCCGCTGCTATTGTCGTTGTATCTGCTGCTCCTGACGTTGTCTCTGCTGCTGCCGATGTTGTTGCTGCTGCTGCCGATGTTGCTTGAATTGTCGCTAACGCTCTTGTTCGTTCTGTTTCAGGGATCGTGTGAGAGTGCCAGAAGCCGCCGGGGCTGAAGTCTGGGTCAAGATCTGGAGGATGTGTCCAAGGAGCAAAGCTGACGATGCCGTCGCTGTCGGCGGTGCCAAGGTCTGGTACGAAATCAAGAACGAAGACGTTGTTCTTGAGGATCGCCTTTCCGATGTAGAGGCCGCCCTTTCCGTGGTACAGCTTGAACTCCTGGGTGGTGCTGTCTGCTTCGAGGTGAATGCCTTTCGCCATCAACTGACTGACGCTCAGTAAGTTATAGCCGAGACCTTCTGCGATTAAGACCTTGGTCATTTGTAGAATGACACTTGTTTCTCGTGACTGAAGTTGTACCACGCCTTGTCGTCGTGTGCGCAGGTTCTGGTTGTTGGCGACGGTGATGACTACTTCACGTTGGAGTTGATACTCTCGTTGTACGAAGCGT